GAAATAGAACATTAAGGTTCAGTTCCAGTCCAGAAAAACACTCATGTTGAAAATGACAAACATTCACTATTCAAATCCTTCAGAGACAGGAGGCATCGGCGTACCGCTTGTCTAACTTATATTTTAAGTGGTGAGTGGGTAACAAAGCAGCCAGAACCTTCTACTATATTCTGATTCTGGCTCCAGAACAAAATCCTCACTTACCCTTCCTTGAGAACGACAGCATCCTCCAGTCCACTGGATTCCTTGTTGACATTTGATGAGATTTCATCAAGAAACTGGAAACCCAAGGAAAAAAACAACACTATTCAACACAAACAGTGAAATACTTTGGGCAATAGAGAATGTTTAAAAAAAAAAAAAAAAAAAAAAAAATTACATATATATATATATATGTGTGTGTGTGTGTGTGTAAATACCTTTTTAACTTTTTCAATGCACTTTTCCTCCTGGAATGATCTGAAGAAGTCGTACATGTAGCTTTCTTTAAAACTAGACTAGAGAGAGACAGAGAGAGAGAGAGAGAGAGAAGGAACAAGTTTGACTATTTCATAACGTTGAAGGAAAACAGAGAGGACATTTTTATTCATTAGTTCAGGCATCTATCTGTAATTACCTAAACAGAGTTTAATATCTTCTCAGAATGAGTTTGTACCTTACCAGTTTTTTGGACAAACTACCCCAGCTGCCCAGAGTCTGGATGGTTTTGGAGATGAGGGTGAGCGTGCGGGAAATCTCAGGATCCTTTGATCACAGAGAACACAAAGATGTCTGTGACAGATCACTGGTGAATTTGGACACAGTTTGGGTTTGCAGAGGCACAAACTTACAGGGTGATGGGAGCGGAGCTGGAAGGAGTGTGGAGAAAGAACAGCCACTGCAAAAAATCGCAGGAACACAAAGCTGCTCACAGCCGAGTACTGAACATGTGGATCACCTGCAGAGAGAGAAACAGCTTTAATCAAAGAGTGCAGCTTTAGTAAAATACGTCACACAATCTGTTATAAAAGTACGTGTTTTTAATGACTTTCAGCTACAAACGCACCCGGTTTTAACTTAATGTCTGTAAAACTGACGGAGTTATAGACATGTTTGTGTTGGTTGAGTTTGATGAGCTGTGGTAGCCAAGTTAACTTCTGAAGTTAATCAGTTGTAGATGCACAATTGATGATTACTTTCTAAGAGTCTTGTTCAAATCTGTTCCCTGGTTCATGAGATATTTTGCTAACTGACAGCCATACAAAAGCACACAGTTCCTTAATGACATAAAACTCTAAATCTAAAACTTTGGCTCCACCTTTTGGTGAACATGTCTAAAAACACTTAAAGCTTGTCTAATGTTATAACACGCATTTGGCACATAATAATAAACTCTTATTATTTTTACTGAAGGCAAAACAAACTGAACAGATGGAGCTGCAGAATAATCCCAGTTAACACTTATCTGTGTAACTTTATTGTTTCTGAGTGGGTGAATGTGACAGAACACTAAGCTCCACAGAAAAGTGTCAATTTAAAATGAAAAAGAAAAGAATACATACATATATAGAGGTGCTGGTCATAAAATTAGAATATCATGAAAAAGTTGATTTATTTCAGTAATTCCATTCAAAAAGTGAAACGTGTATATTATATTCATTCATTACACACACACTGATATATTTCAAATGTTTATTTATTTTAATGTTGATGATTATAACTGACAACTAATGAAAACCCCAAATTCAGTATCGCAGAAAATTAGAATATTGTGAAAAGGTTCAATATCGACGAAACCTGGTGTCACACTCTAATCAGCTAATTAACTCAAAAAACTTGCACAGGCCTTGAAATGGTCTCAGTCTAGTTCTGTAGGCTACACAATCATGGGGATGACTGATGACTTGACAGATGTCCAAAAGACGACCACTGATACCTTGCACAAGGAGGACAAGACACAAAAGATCATTGCTAAAGAGGCTGGCTGTTCACAGAGCTCTGTGTCCAAGCACATTAATAGAGAGGTGCAGGGAAAGAAAGGATGTGGTAGAAAAAAAGTGCACAAGCAATAGAGATAACCACATCCTGGAGAGGATGGTGAAACAAAATCCATTCCAAAATGTGAGGGAGATTCACAAAGAGTGGACTGCAGCTGGAGTCAGTGCTTCAAGAACCACCACGCACAGACGTATGCAAGACATGGGTTTCAGCTGTCACATTCCTTGTGTCAAGTCACTCTTGAACAAGAGACGGCGTCAGAAGTGTCTCGCCTGGGGCTGCTGCTGAGTGGTCCAAAGTTATGTTCTTTGATGAAAGTATATTTTGCATTTCCTTTGGAAATCAAGGTCCCAGAGCCTGGAGGAAGAGAGGAGAGGCACAGAACCCACGTTGCTTGAGGTCCAGTGTCAATTTCCACAGTCAGTGATGGTTTGGGGTGCCATGTTGTCTGCTGGTGTTGGTTCACTGCGGTTTCTGAGGTCCAAGGTCAACGCAACCATCTATCAGGAAGTTTTAGAGACTTCATGCTTCCTGCTGCTGACCAACTTTATGGAGATGCAGATTTAATTTTCCACAGGACTTGACACCTGCACACAGTGCCAAACCTACCAGTACCTGGTTTAATGATCATGGTATCCCTGTTCTTAATTGGCCAGCAAACTCGCAAAATCTATGGTGAAGAGGAAGATGCGATACACCAGATCCAATACTCCATGCCACGCCATATTGCTGCAGTAATCCAGGCAAAAGGAGCAACAACTAAGTATTGAGTGCTGGACATAGTCATACTTTTCAGTTGGCCAACATTTCTAAAAATCCTTTTTATTCTAATTGATCTTAATATTCTAATTTTCTGAGATACTGAATTTGGGGTTTTCATTAGTTGTCAGTTTTAATCATCAACATTAAAAGAAACAAACATTTGAAATATATCAGTCCGTGTGTAATGAATGAATATAATATACAAGTTTCACTTTTTGAATGGAATTACTGAAATAAATCAACTTTTTCCTGATTTTTATTGGTATAAAAAAATATATATCTTCAGTCGTTAATACAGTTTTTTGTAAGCACTGATGATGTTTTTAACATAAGATCCATCTTTCACCTGGGAAGCGTTTGCAGGCCAAGTGTCTTAAAGATCTGAACACATCACACATGAGGGGGGGACAGCTGGAACTGGACTGGGTGATGGAGGAGAAGACTTTCTGGACATAAACCTGAAGGTTTTCCTGCAACAACATTCAAACTGTGGCATTACACAAACTGTACGAGAAGAAAAGCTTAATGCTACCTCAACTTTTTATGTTGTTTCTGAGCCTGAAAGACAACAGAGGAGCGATTACCTTGTTGATTTCCACATTGTCACCTTCTTTTAGTTTAATGGGGTCTATTTCACAGGTTTTGTTGGAGTCACAAATCTGAAAAAGTAAAA